ATTTTCAAAAGTAAAAAGTCGAAATAAAATTGATTTTAAATGCGCAGATCAATTATTTGTTTTCATCAGAAAATCCGGTTTGCTAATTTTATGTTTTGTTGACATTCTAAATTGTCTCGCCCCTAATAGTAAAAAATATGTGTGTATGTTTATGTAACAATTGTTTTTTTTTGGTCAAATTTTCTCACAAATTAATTAAAAATTAAATACAAATTAAAAGCCGAATGATCAACCGAGCTATTTCTTTACAATTGGCAGATAAGTCAAACTTTTCCACTTGCGTATTCTCCAAAAGATATAATTTGCTAAAATAGTATAGGGCCCACAAGAGTGGTTTTAACAGAAAAACGCATTTAAGTTTGGAATTGGAACAAGTCAAAATTTCAAAAAATTTTAGTCGCTATTCTAAAACTTGCGAAGACTTAATTCTTATGGATTAGGTCAATTATTTATCGGGAAGCACATGCAAGTAGCCTTGAAGCAAAATTCCACATAGTGAATTTAGTTTGATTTCATTTTGGACAATAAAATAAATGCTTTGGCATAATTAAGGTATTAAATAAACATGTATTTTACATTCATTTAGCATTATTATCGTTTTTAAACATCCTAACAGTGATGTTAGACTGATTTAATATAATAGTCATAATCGCAAAGTTTGGAAAATTAAAATTATATGGCAATCGAAAATTATTCATAGCCATCTTATCTTCTGCAATTCATCCGAAGACTGAATATATAAAATTATTATTACAGCAATCAGAACTGAATAGTTCTATAAGCTTGTTATGACGACTTGACGTGGGAATTAAAGATTTCTTAGAACAAAATATTATTAGAATAACTAATTCTGATTACTTGTCGGGTAAGGGCTATTTTTATTTGGAAACATAGCTATTTATATTGCCAAGAAAAACCGATGCTCGACTTCGGACTGTCCGAGACGGGTATCGAACTTGACTCTTCTGATTAGCCCAAAGCTCTAACCACAAAGCCACATTCATAATTTTTTACTACTAATTAACTACTTTTAGATAGATGTAGTATCATGGTGATCAAAATGCTCCACGCTACCATTTTTCTCTCGATATATTGTGTTTATGTAATGTAACTTAGCATTTGGCACCTAAGTTTTGCAAATCATCAGCAAATCAAAATATTGATTTGAATATGGTTTTGTCCGAATAGAAACCCCCATGAATCGCTGCTATACAATGAGCATCATGTTTGGATTTATGACATTGCGTACGATGTGCCAATAGCACATCGATCTATACAAATTAATGTTTAATTCACATCGCGTTCAGTTCAGACATTCCGTGATGCGTCAAGACATAATTAATAATAATGACAAGACAAGAAGTATCGTTAATTGTAATGAAGCATTTCATAACAAGACTGAAATTGTTGATGCGATTCGATTTTAATGCAACTTAAGGAGGTATCATCCGGAGGATCATGAATATCATCAATATTCAAGCTCGCTATTTAGGGTGTTTTGTTGGAACTAGCAATTCCATAGCCAGACATAAGAAGTTTTAAATATATACACTAAAATAAATCAGACAGTCCGTGTTCTCTGATGCACGACGTATGACTCTATGAAAACGAATATATGTGGGCTAGCGGCTAGATGACTCCATTAAATTCAAGAGAAATTCTGTCCTTTGGATTTTGATATATGTTAGGTTAGGTGTCATGATACAGGAAATAAATAAATGTCAGTAGGATATAATTATGTGTTTAATTTGTTCTAAAAGTATTATTCGGACTAACTGTAACAAGTTGTTAACACTAAACTTACCGACAATTCGCGTATACCTATACCTAGGTCAAATTAAACTACAATTAAAAAGTTATCTAATTGTTTATATATCTTAGAGAATGATTGATGTATTGTTTAATGTATATAAAATAAAGAAATGTTCATGAACTTTCATCTAAATTTATTTATATAAAACTTTTAAAAGAAGTAAGAAAAAAAATGAACAAAACCAAAATTTTTGCTCAGAATACCATAAGCATAAATAATACTTGTTTTTATTTATTCGGCTTTCTCACATTGTTTACCAAATATTTTAGTCAAAAATATTTGTTAACTTTCACAATTTTTTTGGGAAGTTTTTCACAACACAAAGCCGAACTTATAGAGTGTTGATAAAAACTTGAATTTCTTGAGATTTTCACTATGCATCTCGAGTTAAAAAAATTATATAAAATAACTAAAACAAAAATTCGTGCCTAAAAATGCTTTTAAGCGTCGTCTCTCTATACAAAATTTACGCATTTATTCAGGTAGGATCAAAATGTTGAAATATACCTAAAGTTGACAACTACAACTTTTCGACTTAATGTTGCATTTTATAGCAATCTAGTCCACATTTTCACCAAACAATACACTAATATAAATTCTAATAGTTTTCAGACCACTTTTGAGGCTTTCTCCTATTTCTATTGGATAATGTTAAAATGTTGTAATAAAATTCGATTTATACATTTTTTTTTCTAAATTTGGTAATTAATTTATTAGTATTAGAAAAACCTATCCAATTGAAGAATTGAAAAATCTTTCTTCTTGTAATTTCCCTAATAGGGAAACCCACTTATTAGATATTTACTATTGAGTTCACACTCCGCCCAGAGCTTTATTCTGGTTTAGTTGGTATATTTTGTATAAATCTGTACCTAGATTTCGATGAAAACAAGTCCCCAAATAACTTTATTAGTTAGGTCACATAACATTTTTTTCGGAAAATATAAAAAAATAATTGAATTCAAAGAGTGAAAAAAATATTATTGGTATGTTCTAAGAATTGTCATATAGTTTGGTATTAGAAACGGTCATTTTGACCAGCATTGGTAGGTTTACTGTTAAAGTTACTTTTTATTACTTTTGAATAACATTTACAGGGCCACAGTCAAAAATAATTACATAATTGCCCAAAGTTTTCAAGAAATGCAACTTTTTGTTGAACTATAAATTAAATATTTTTATAAAATCGGTCGACTTTGAAAGACCCTTCTCTAAAAAAACGTACTAAAGTATGTTGGCAAGTTTTATCAAAAATTGGTGTATTTAATCAGGATTGTAAAATGGTAAAATTATATATATAATTATATATAAACAAAGTCTAATAATCGGGCATAACATCAATAAAATAACAATTGTTTTAAAAAATCTATTTTAGAATCCATACATTTCGGCTATAATCCTACCCCTTCAACTAGTGGAAACCAAAAATATAGTTTAAAAAAATTTGCTAATTTTAGTGTTACAAACAGAAAAATCAAAAATCCATGGCATTAGGATATGACTAGGTAGTATAAACATTAAACTAGTAATTATAACAAAATTTTGCAATTATACTAGCATTCAATTACTGCCTGTTCTCTGTGTACTAAACTAGTGGTGTATGGCATCGTGCCTTATGGTAAATTGCTGGAACTTTTCGTACCAGAATTATATATTCGAGGAAAACAATCAGTAATCAATAAAAATTGATCAATGATTTAAAACAATTGTTTTATATGTTTTCAAATAGATAATTATAATCACTATATTTTATCGTTCATAAAGTTTTCATTAACAGGAGGTGAAGTGAATGAATGAATCCATCTGAAGATATATTTCCTACGATTAAATTAACGCATTTGAAATATATACATTTTGAAACTGAATTGTAAATTTAAAATTTATATTTGAAGTAAAAAACTTTGTATATTTTTGAAAATTTGGATTTTTTTTGGAAAACTATAAAAATTTAAAATTTTTGTAAGAAACCCAACAAAAATGTAACAAAAAACTATTTTTAAAAATTATTATTCATGTTCATTTTTGACCACCAAATGTCATTTTTTACTATTTTTTCCTTTGCATCTCTGAAACCGCTGGAACTGCCTTTCCAAAAATTTCATCAATTATTCATTTCGTCATTACAAATAAATGTTTTTCGAACCATTCAAATCGAGTACTCCGTTCTCTCAAAAACAGAATTACCGTTTTGGCATTTTTTACCTCATACCTCCTAAACGGCTAAACCTGTCTTCACTAAAATCTAATCAGCACGTTTTCATATCAATAGGAATCTAATGTTTTTAGAACGATTCAAATCGGTTAATTTGTGTGCCCGAAATCGTGGACGAAAAATTGTATCCCAACATATATACATACATACCACACACACATGCACACACACACATACATACTTCTTTTGTGAGGTATGCCAAAATGTTCAGAAATCTTTGAAACGTAAAGATATGCAAAAAAAATTATTTTCGATTTTTTGCGATTACTATAACTTACCCTGCGAGAAGCTAAAGATGACAAACATAATAAAGAAAAGATGTTTTTTTAAAAAAAAAATATCCAGATTTTAAAATGTGCGAAACTCATTCTGAGTTGTTTCTACAGTTTGTATTGTTTCGTAAGAAATTTAGAAATACTATCTAGATAAAGGATGTTTGTACAGCGTGTCGAGTTCATTCCTTTAATTTATGGCTCTATCTTTATACAAGGTTGAAAATTATCCTTCGCAGATTCGCCTTTTGTATATATTTTCTTTTAAATGTTTTACAGTCGGATTAAAAAAAATTATATCTTATATATAATAATTAAGTTTTATGAATGACTCAAAAATAAATAGAAAATACGTGCAATTTGTTATCAAATTGCACCGTATCAAATATAAAACTAACTGTAACACTGTGTAATAAAAACAGTAATATTATTATATTTACATACATAAAAAACTTCTCACCGTGCAAACTTTATATGAAAAATTTAATTATTTCATATGGCCTCTTTTTTACATGAAAAACACGTACTTTTACCGTAAAATGTTTAAACAAGTCATTCACAATAAAAACACATCTTATTTGCATTCGAAACATATTTACAATTTCATTTTATTCATTACTGTTGTTTGTATCCATTTTTTGCAAAATGCCTAATATAAATATCACATTGTAAGTGAGATAAATATTTGTTTTCATTTTTTTAGGATCTAGACATATACGATGCTGTTGTAGATGTTAGATGCTACGATTTAGCTGCCCTGTTTCTGTGCTCGGTTTTTGTCCCGGAATGTGATCCCAGCACAGGTGTAGCTCGGTTACCTTGCAGAGCGCTATGTGTAGGTGAGTTATTGCAACGACCATATCATCATTTTTTTGGCAGAATAGATTTAAAAATATTAAGGTAAATTTTATCTACTACTTCTGAAGATAGGTTAGTTTTCAAATTGTAATATGGTTTAGTTGTTAATAAAAGCATTACAAACACAATAAATATAAATATGAAGAGCGAAATGAGCGTCATGTATTAGCCGATGAGCCCGTCGTGGTGTAGTGATTCATTTTTCAAATGTTTTTCTAAGTTATAATAGATTCCTAAATCACATTTGTTTGTTAAATTTTATGCATATATGCATATTTGTTCTAACGAGAATACAATATTAATGTCTACCATTTACGACTATCATCTTGGTTTAGGACATAGTAAATAAAGTAATTCGAATAATGCAAACAATGGTTTTACAATAAATCGTAACATAGTAAATATTGTAACATGCAGCTCATAAATAACCAGTACTAAATTGAAGTCGTATCATCGACGTCGCATTAATATCAAATAATAGGGCCTCTCGTTATATTCCGAAACATTTTAATGCAGTAGATTTAGGTACAGTTTATTATATGAATTTTAACATATATGTATTTACAATTGCAATTAGTTGTTATTTTTCAACTTTTTGCGGGCTAAATTATAGTAATCGCAAAAAGATCAAAAATGAAATTTTTTTATATATTTTTACGTTTCAAAGGTTTCTGAATATTTTGGCATACTTTGTGTGTGTGATACAAATTTTTGTCAACGATTTCATGAACACGGATCAACCGAATTGAATAATTCGAAGAACGTTTGATTCGTATTAACGAGGAGACGCGCAAATTTGAATCCAAAAATTTAAATATTCTCATTAATCTATTTTTCTAAAAAAAACTTTGAAAAATTTAATATTCGGTACGGGAAGAACTATGCTACTAGTTGATGCACGTTGGGGCTAGCAATAGCAACTTAGTCGTGTAAAAATATTTTGCAATTCATATAAATCATCTATATGCCATCATTTTACTCTTAACATAAATATGCTCTTCTTGAAGCAGCTGGTGTGAAAATAATAGTACAAAATTATGTGCCCCGCACAAATCTACAAAGACTATATATATATATATATATATATATATATATATATATATATATATATATATATCCACTGTTGATGACATGAAATCATATGTCGAAACGTTTGTAAAAAATTAAAGAATAACTTTTAAATCTTTGCCTCGTATATATATACGATGAAAAATCTTTAGGAATCCATCGAATAAAAAGATTTAGTAAAGAAAAATGTCTATTGTAGTAGCAGCATACGTTTCGAGTTTTGATTTGACTAATATTCCGAGCTACCTTACAAAATTACTAAATTACAAGTTATAAAATATATAAAAAAATTCAAAATAATATAATATGGAATAAATAAATATAGAAAACATAACCGAAGAAAAACAATTTTTTAGTTCAATAACTCACCATACAAATAATCTAAACAGAAACATAAAAATGAAAACACTAAATAATATAGTTATATAGCAATATATATGTATATATATATATATATATATATATATATATATATATATATATATATATATATATATATTAGGGTGATCCTTAAAATTTTTTGAATTTCCTTGCTCCCAGGGGCTCAAATGGTTTCAAATTGATAAAAAACAATTCTCTGAAAGTTTAAGCTCTTAATATTAATGTTTAGATAGAGCGCAATTCAATAAAACTTCGTATGGAAAGAGCATGGAAAAAATTTTGAAAATTTAAAAAAAATGTTTTAGGTATAACTTAGCGACAAATGAATGAGTTTTATTCACTTGAAGGTAATATCTAAATATATGGAGAAAAAACAAACAGCGTTTTCTATATTCTAGAAAAAAAATCTCTAAAGAAAAATTATTAGAAAGTATAGAATATATAAATTTATGCAACATGCTTATTTATACCAATCTCTGTGATATTTTCTTAGTAACTGAAAATAAATGCACTCAATTGCTATATTCGATACCAAATAATATAATCTCTCTTTTGATACGCAGTTTGTTTCAATATCGGTGCACAAAAAGAGCTTTCTGGGAAATCTTACAACCTCCTTTGAAATACATTTTTTATGAGTTGAAATTGGGTCAGACCTATAAAGAAGAAATTTATTTATGCGCGCTACAACCAAAGCGTTATATTTGTCGTATTGCGAACCTATTCAAATGATTTATTATAAAAATACACAAATAAGTTATTCACAATTGTATTGAGATTTTAATATTACAATATATAGAGCCCATATACGCCTGGGATATGAATCCAAATCTGACTTATTAAATAATCCAATTATATTAGCTTGAGACAAATTCAAAATTATAATTTATGGTTGCATAAAATATTAGGGATCATTTCCTAACTCTTTTTCAACACTTGTACTTAAAATTGATAAGTATAATAAATCTTTTTGAAATATTTAACTTCCCGTAGGGTAAGTTATAGTAATCGCAAAAAAATCGAAAATGAAAATTTTTATATATCTTTACGTTTCAGAGGTTTCTGAACATTTTGGCATACCTTAGAAAAAATGGATGTATGTGTGTGTGTGTGTGTATGTATGTGTGTGTATGTATGTGCGGATACAAATTTTCGTCGACGATTTCGGGAACACGGATCAACCGATTTGAATAATTCGAAAAACATTCGATTTGTACTGATAAGGAGACGTGCTGATTAGTTTTTGGCGAAGTTAGGTCCAGCCGTTCCGAAGATACGGGGCAAAAAGTGCCGAAAACGGTAACTCAGTTTTTAAGAGAACGGAGCGTCCGATTTGAATAATTCAAAAAACATTTTACTTGTATTGGCAAGATGAAGAGTTGATCAAATTTTCATGAAGGCAGGTCTAGCGGTTTCGGAGATCTAATGAAAAAAGTAAAAAAAAATGCCATTCGGCGGTTAAAAATGATGATTAGACACATGCACATCAAATTATCAGATATTGTATAGAAATTTTAACAATAAGTATAATTTTTTTTTACATTTCTATGGGTTCCGTACCAATGTTTATGCGTTAGACGGCGGCGCGGCACTTGCGCTGTGACAATTCGTCTCTATGCAGTTCAAGCAGTACGATTGCTTTGAAAAAAAGTTCAGAATTTCCAAAATATGTCAAAATGAAGAAAACATTTTTCTTTTCAAAAAAATAGTTTGTTTTCAAAAAAAAAAAATTTCTTTCAAAAAAAAATTTTTTTTTCAAATAAAAATTTTTTTTTCACAAAAAAGTAATTTTTTGTCATATTCCTAGTTTCTCAAAAATCTAATTATTTCGAAGTAAATTTTTTTCAAAAATGTTAATCGTTTTTAAAAAAATAATAATTTTTGGTACGGGAAGTTCCAGCAATTTGCCTTAAGGCACGATGCCTTAATTGCCTTAAGACAGAATTTCACTTACAGCTAGTTTCAACTCAAATTCTGTTGCCTTGCACCTTATCGTGCAATAAATGAACTTTCAAGTTTATCATTTTATAAAATCATAGCAATGTAGAAAGTCATAAAATAAAATTTCCAATTTCTTGGTGTACTAATCTATGGTGTACTATAAAAATGTTTTAACAATTTATATTCAGATTGCACATTGATGTAGTTTTTTTTATAAAGTGATAAAATATTGTAATACATAAAAATCTAGAGTATAAAATAGACAAAAACTTAATAATAAATAAATAAAAAGCACTAAAATTAATGAAAAATAAATTATTATATAAACTTTAGAGTTTTTAGATATATTTTTTTTATCATATTTTAACAATAATCAGAACCTTCCGTCGTATAAGCTGTTGGGCTGATACTTCTTACGTCGTATTTTTAGATGGTAACCCAACAATTCATGAATTGATTCATCTAAATTTGATTACTGTAATATTAAAATATATTAATAGAACTGGCTTATTATTCAATTTGGTGCAGCAATGCCCAGGAAACGTTATTTTCGCTTAAAAACATTTATAATCCCAAGTGAAAATTGATATCGCTATTGCTCGATATCAGGTTGTTCGTGACGGGGATTGAGCCCGCGATTCGCCTGATTGCGAACCTACGCGCTAACCACTCCGTCATGAAAGCCCCAAGTTTTCAAATATATTTATATGTAGCCATTTTTGCGCAATTCAAATTCACTTTACAGAAATTCACATATATAATAAAAAAGTAAATATATAATATTTCACTCGTGCTTTCAATAATATCCTCAAACGTAGAAAATATATAAGAATAAAAAATTAAATAGTTTTTTTTAAAAAATTACAGACTAAATCAAGAAAAATTATATATATATATATATATATATGAATAAACACTTTTGATACCATAAATTTTCATTATTACAATAAATTAAATATTAAAAATTGATGTACATGATTAACCATTTGTGTTCCACTATAAAATTTACAAACATATACAATAAACGATTGAATTATTTATAAATTAAACACAATTCATAAACCGTAATATGATTACTAATCATGAATATTATAGTATAATTGCTAATTTGCACTCTGCAACTATTAGTTCCAAATCATAAGAACGACGATCACATAGCTCTGTTAGATTAAAGTACATATTATTCAGTAATTTTCCAGACTTATTGTTTTGAAGATTAGCCTTTAATTTATTATATTCATTAAGTCCAATTACTTATTAATTAAATCAAAAGATCATTCTTTTGTTCGTGAAGACAATTGTGTCATTTTAATGCGCCCATTGTCTGAACTTTATGAGAATGTCTAAAATAAAGCTTAGCTTTTAATCAAGTAAGAGTGAGAGAATTCTTGTATACTTCACATAGATCTATTCATTTCACTTTAATTCAAATAACTAAGTTCATTATATAAGAATTTTATTGGTAAGGAATTAAATATAATTGAAATCATAATTTATGGTTAATATTGTTTCTATTGAATATTATGATTAATTATAATCAATAATTTTACGAAGTATTCTATAAAATAAAGCGTTTTAAAAAAAAGAGACAAATTAGCAAAAAAAACATTAAACAACAAATATTGATGTTAATTGACACGTTGAGCCCGGCGCCAAATTTTCTGTCCTTTCCGGCCGGGAGGGAGAAACAGTTGGCAACGTTAACCATGTAAAACATGTTTCAATGAAAATTATTTTTGATAGCATTTCATTACGACTAGTTTTGTTTTTACTGTCCATCATACAAACCATACAAACAAAAAATTCAAGTGCCGGTCTACGATGCCGACGCTGGTCATATGGTAAGATGACTGTCAGTCCCCAGGGTCCGACGCCGGCCTAACGGAAAATTGATTGTCAGTTGTCCGTCCCCCTAGAGACCGACGCCGGGCTCAACGTATTAAATAAGTTTTATTTAAATATTAACACTAGTAGCAAGCTTGTTAACATTATTTCAAACTGGTGTTAACCTGGCTAAAAATTAATAAAATCTAATTTGCCAATTAACAGAATGGAATGAAATGGAGTGAAATTTTTATTCAAATTTGAATAAATAATCGTATTTATTTACAGAAACATTACGCCGTTGTGGATTCTTTTTGAATGTTTTCGGTTTGGCAATGCCGACATTTTTCCAATGCGAAACATTTCCCGATACCAAAGATTGTGTTGGATGGCAAGAAGTCGAAGAAGAACGGCGAAAAGCTCATAAACCAAGTAAGTTGAGTTGTGAAAATTATTTTGTTGAAAACTTGTTATCTAATTAATTTAATGCGAATGTGATATTGTGAATTTACATTGGTTATCTTGAAATTAATTTAGTTTTATTCGTTATTACCAAAAACGTAATTTTTTATATCAAGAAGTTTTAGTATAAAAAATATTGATATTTTCAAAACAGCTGCAACATATTAACATTTGACTGTGCTCACATAATTAGGTATGAACAGATCGAATGTGATTGAAAATAACTGTCATTAAATACAAGAATATGAATAGAAATGCAGTGCAAACTTATCTCAAGTAAGACGAGAAACTATTATCGCAATTACTGAAACAAGCAAGTTGAATCATACGGCATAATAAGAACTTTCTTCTACGCAAATATGCTGCGCGGCATAATATATCCATTTATTATGCCTGCATTTTTTTTAAATGCAGTTTACGGATAATTTTATTATTAAACTGATAATGAATGCCATCGTAGCCTTATGGCCAATTGCTGGAACTTCCATACCAAAAAATTTTGTTTTCAAATTATTTGAAAACTTTGAAAAAATAGATTTTTGAGAATTGTGAAGATTTTAATAAAAATGACGTTTATGAAAAATCTGATTACTTCTTTAAATCTTCAAAGTTTTTGAAAATTTTAAAGTTTTTTCAAAGCAATCGCGTTCCGTAGCTGTTTTAGAGACGAAATATCGAAGCGCGTAAGCGCCGCATTGCAAAAAGTATACTCATTAAAATTTCTATAAATATCCGATAATTTAATGCGGATATGTCTAATAATCATTTTTGACTGCCAAATGGGATTTTTTTTTACCGGTTCTCCAAAACCGCTGAACCTGCCCTCCTAAAACTTATCAGTTGTTTATTTTGCCAATACAATTTGAAATATTGAAATTGAACGCTCCGTTATTTTAAAAAATGAATTACTATTTTCGGCACTTTTTGCTCCGTATGCCGAAAACTCAATCAAAACATTTCCCCACATTACACACACACATCCATTTTTTCATTCTGAGGTATGCCAAAATGTTCAGGAGGTCTTGAAACGTCAAGATATGCAAACACTTTCATTTTTGATTACTATAACCCTACGGAAAAAGTTAATATACACAAGAACCGTTAATATCGCTAAACCAAAAACTACGATAAAAATGATACGTCTAAATAAGTTATATTATTATGTTATCATAAAATCCGGATTAAGGATTAGCAACCACTTGTTCCAGGTTCAATGCCCACTTACGCCAACTTGATATCAATCAATAATGCTATCAAATTTTTACTTCAGATTGTAGATCTGAATCATCAAGACTAATGGTCAGTGATGAATAGAAAAGATAGCTACTAAGTTGCCTTCTAACAACCATCTGTTAAAATAATTATACCAAAATTTAATTAAGATCTAATTTAGTACATTAATAAAAGGTGAACCACTGGGTTTTCCTTTTAAAATTCTATGTTATTTGTCAAACTAATTACTCAATGTTTTTCTATTTAGACAGATTGTAATTTATAAGAAAATAAAAAAAACCTGTTAAAATAATAAAATTTCTGAATATCTTCACTATAGACTGATTGTTTGTCAAAACAAACACTACAGATTCCAACGTCATGAAATATAATTTTCAGGTACTATTTGTTATTGTTTACGTGCGCATCTAGTGCTTGCATGTCCAAGAAAAAATACGTAAATATAAATCCATACTTGTATCATCAATTTGCTTGATTTTAGAGTAGCATTGTTATATGATATTTATTACGGAGCGGATTATTCTATTCAGAAATATCTGTTTTTTGAATAAATAAAATTGTGTTAAAAATCTCCCATAAAAAATATCTAAGAACAATTCCATTTACGTTAAAAATAACTCAATTTATTGGACATCATTGTTATTGAATATGTAAAAGTTAAAGGAGAATTATAATACAATGGCGCATGAATTTATCCAAATAATATGTTTTATAAATTAAGTAATAATATAAATGTTAAAGTAAAAAAATATTATGATCAAGTTAACATATACATTATTTAAAAACATTTTTTTACTAAATTTTATTTACTTGCGCATTCTATTAAAATAACCGGAGCCATAATTATGGCAGAATAATTGAATTAAACTCAATTTTTGTTTTCAACATAAATATAAATAGCATGATATTGTTTTCTCTCTAATATCGATAATAATTTTGAAAAATTTGGCATATGAAAGTAAACTTTACAAATGAATATAATACTTCAATCAAATTTGTTTGAAAATGGTGATTAAAAATATAATACGTAAATTTATTTTTAAAATAATAGATAAATGCGTTCTACCAAATTTTAAGTAATATGGTCAGACTCACCTTACAACATTTTACAAATTACAACATAATGCATTATGCTGAATTCTTTCCCAGAGTGCATTCTATTTGAACATTTTAATTGAATTTAACACTCACTATTTTATGATTTTTATGACTAAACAAAAATTAAAATGAAATAATCATCATATTAAGCTGTAAAAATCATCATTATTGAAAAAACGTGTTTCAATGAAAAAAACTATTCGACTCATGATATAAAGTAAAATTTGCACACAATTACGCAACAACATCAAAAGATTGAACTGACAACAAAGGTGGTCGCAATGCACTTTATGTGAAAAAAATAAAAAATTAAAAAGAGACAATACATTCATAAAGTATAGACCTATACTTTATCAAGATAGTTTATCGAAAGATGTCAGTACATTTTTAGAACATTTAACCACATATTTTTCATAGACTAATATCAAATAAATCTTCTAATTTTAATAAGTTCTTAGTACATATATTATCAAAACAAATCTAAGGTTGAGGTTATGAATATTTATATAAATACGAAAAATTCGTATTTCTCTTTTATATATCTTTACGTTTCAAAGGTTTCTGAACATGTTAGCATACCTTACATGTGCGCTCGTATTTGTGTGCGGATACAAATTTTCGTAGACGATTCCGGGAACACGCTTTAACCGATTTGAATGAATCAGAAAATTTTCGATTCCTATTGATCGGTGATTAGTTTTTGCCCAAGGCAGATCCAGCCATTTCGAAGATACGGGGCAAAAAGTGCCAAAAATTGTGATTCAGTTTTTGAGAAAACGGAAGTGTTTAATTTCAATAATTGAAAAAACATTTTACTTGTATTGACAAAGTGAAGCGCTGATTAAATTGTTGGGAAGACAGATCTAGCGGTTTCAGAGATCGAGTGAAAACAGTAAAAAAAGCCATTTGACGTTCAAAAATGATCATTAGATATATGCACATAAAATTATCAGATATTTTATAGAGATTTTATTCATAAGTATAAATTTTGTTTACATTTCTATGGGTTCCGTCCCAATGTTTATCCGGTAAACTGCGACACCGGCTCTTACGCGATTCGAAATTTTTTCTCTAAGACTGCCACGCAGCACGATTGCTTTGAACAAAAGTTCAAGATAAAAAAAAATCAAAAACATTCATTTCATTTTAGCATTCTCAAAATCTCATTTTTCCAAAGTTTTCAAAAAAATTTAAAGCTTTAGAAATTTTAATTTTTGGTACCGGTAGTTCCAGCAAGTTGCCTTAAGGCACGATGTCATGCGCACCACTAATTTGACTAATAACAAGTCACTATGTGCTATATAACTTTTTAATAAAAAGAGATCTTATATCTCAAATTCAAGTAATAGAGGTAATAGTCGTTTGTTATATTTTATCAGTTTGCCCGTACGGTTTCCAATGCGATGTGACTCGTTGTATCCCTTCTGACTGGCGCTGTGACGGTCACGTCGATTGCGCTGATCAGTCGGACGAGCTGAACTGCCGCATGTGCGGCCGCGGCACCATCCATTGCGGCGAAAGAAAATGTATGGCCCGAAGACACATGTGCGACGGGGTTGTCGACTGCCCATGGGGACAAGACGAACGAAATTGCTGTAAGTAAAAGTTCGGAAAATATAAAAGATGAATATTTTTTATACATCATTAGTAGTTATGCAATGTCACGTTTTTTAATGTTAAAAGTAAATTTGTCAAATATTACAAATCAATCCTTATATTTTTCTATGTTGGTGTTTGCATCTTTTTCATATCGATTTGAATTATTAGTACGATTGAGCGAGCGCAACGGCGATATGGGGAGTGGAAAACTGCAAATCTATAAACCAGATGCCCAGCAGTGGATGCCTGCATGTATAACACATTGGGACGACGAAACGCCAAAACTTGTTTGCAAAATGCTAGGATATGGGTAATTACTGATTTTGTTCTCTTTTAGTAAAAACTAAAATTTAAAATGCATTAAATGTGTTTTCAGAGCCGTAAATTCAAGTAAGATTTCAATGAACGATAAAGAAATGGCTATAGCTCCCCCTACGAAAGATACACCAACGGTTTGGCGTATGTATCAAAAAAAGAAAACAAATTTTTTCAAAGAGTTTGTCTCCTGCAACATGGCTAATTCATATGCTACAGCTGATCTTACTTGTTCCGATTATGGTAAATCATATAGTTGATTGATTGTTTGATAAAATCAATAAATCTATTCATCTATTTGTTAAAGTTTATGACAAACATTTACCTCTGTTTTATTTTTATAGAATGTGGCAAAATACGTACGCTTGTCAACATGCAACGAGCAAGTGCGCGCATAGTTGGCGGTGTTGAGTCAGCACCAGGCGACTGGCCGTTTCTTGCTGCGATTCTTGGAGGACCAGAACAGATTTTTTATTGTGCTGGTGTACTTATAGCCGATCAATGGGTACTCACTGCAGCACATTGTGTTGGAAAGTTAGTATCGACTCTATCCTGAGTATTAATTTTTATATCAACAGTCTTAGTTTAAACCATTGTTGTTAAATTTTTGCCTAATTCATTATAAATCTATAATGAGTGTATTAAAATTGATTAAAATATAGACGATTATCATGCTTCCTATTACTTGTTTTAAATATGGTTAGAACCAAAGTGATTTACCTTTTGTTATTCATTTAACTGAAGTCACTCGGACGTCGGAGGATGGACAATTCAACTGGGCTTGACCCGCCGCCATGCTCACTCGTACTACGGCCAGAAAGTCAAAGTTCGAAAAGTGGTTCCTCATCCTCTATATAACTTGGAATCGGCTCATGATAATGACGTAGCGCTATTTCAGGTATTATAAATAATTTTTATCTATATCATTATGAATATATTAAATAATGTGTATACATTTTATTCATACAGCTGTCCTCGCGCGTATCATTCCATGATCACTTGCTTCCTGTTTGCTTACCTCCACCTAATTTTGAATTAAAACCCAATACTATGTGCACAGTCATCGGCTGGGGAAAGACAGAAGATAAACACAGTAAGTAAAAACGTGAAAATTGAAAAAAAAAATAGAAATATAAATCAACTGGTTTTAATTTAGTGTCGGAGTACGAACCGGCAATCAATGAGGTTCAAGTACCAGTCCTTCATCGCGACATATGCAACGCCTGGATGGAACATCAAGGTCTAAACGTTACCGAAGGAATGATATGCGCTGGCTATCCTGAGGGTGGAAAAGATGCTTGTCAGGTAACAAATATGCAAAATGTATTCAACAGTTTGCTTGATGAAACGCGTATTTTAAAGGATTGAAAATTTCTCTGTCATGCTCGCCTTTTTCCTAAATTTGAAGATTTTATGTTTAAATATTCAGATATGTATGAAGGCTCTTTCCTGAAGCATTTTTGATATTCGTTATTTGGAAATTAAGAAGAACGAGTGTTTCTCGTCACCTTTTCTTGCGACGATAGTCATAATATATTTTTTGTATTTTAAAATTATTAAACTAATATTAGGCTGACGTTATTACATGCAGGGCGATTCAGGCGGTCCACTTCTTTGCCGCGATCCTCTCGACTGGGAGCGCTGGTTCGTCGGAGGAATCGTCTCCTGGGGAATAAAGTGCGCACACCCGCGACTTCCTGGTGTTTATGCGTACGTGCCAAGATTTGTTCCTTGGATTCGGCAGCAGATGCAAATATATGGGAGTACCGCAGTATAAATTCGAGCGATTTGCCTAAGAATTACTGAACTAAAACATGGATTAAAATGAAACAAAACTTCTTCAACACAATTTATCTGATAGGAAATTATAATAACTACAATGCAATGGGTGGTTTCTGAAACGCTGCTAAGTAAGGCGGAAATAATTTCTATAACTAACGACTAATTAACTGATCGTAACTATACCTTTTATACGTGATAGCTGTTTACTAGTTACCTATTACTATTAAAATATTAGATTTACTTTATTTACGTTACTTTATTTTTATTTATTTGTTCAAAATCTATATATTAAAAATTGCACAAAGCATGTTCAATGTAGCCTTTGCGACCCATGCATGAATATGTATAGAATTTTATTTGATAGAATTATAAAAGGAAACTGTTTGACAATAAAAAAGTGTACCATTTGTATTTATGACGATGTAGTCCTATTAGATACTTATACTGTAGTCAACCATATCTCATTACATGAGATTTGTCATTATTTGTAACATAACGCTACGGATTGCACAAATATATGGAGATACAGAAAGTTTTTAATATAAAAGAAAAATATAAAAATAAAATATATAGTAACTAAATGAAGCCAAAGATGCTTTTCACACTTGAACAATGGTGAGTTAGAGTAGGTATTCCTGTCAATGATTTTTAAAGAAAAAATTATAGCACTAAAATTGGTATGTAAGTATTTTGGAAAACATTTTAATTACAAAACAGCCAAAATATAATATTCATTAAATATGGAATTAAAGAATAACAAAAATAATTATATGATAATTTCATTGTCAATTTTATTTAGTCATATATTCTGTTATTATTAAATTATTCAATTAATAATGCTAATAATATATCAATTTTAGTGTTGAACAATCAATCTAGCTGTGATTTTTAGAATCGTAGGCATGGGCATCATATCTCTAGTACCCACACAATACGACAATAATGATTATATTAATTTAAATTAAGGTTAAACAATAAAAATATTTATGGATACATAATTATAAAATAGAATACTGAACGTAATAAGGTACGTAATCGTAAAATATATCATATATAAGTAAATATAAAGAAAATATATAAAATAGTTAAATGTTATCTGTATTATAAATGGATTTTAATTAGATTTTATGAATTAGTTGATAAGAAAAATATCGTATATTAGAAAAATAGAGTACAATATATTATTCAATTATATATAAAGACAAGTAGCTAAATATTATGCGTGAAATAGCCCAATATATAATAAATCATTAATATAGCCAGCAGGACCTGCAGTAACATTTTTCTTTCATATTTATTAATGGTGATAACGTCAATCAAATATATAAAGAATACAAAAAATTAATTCTTACACATCTCATTTTTTAAAGTAGCCGCAAAGACGCACATGAGTGCTACATGACTTACCGACGAAAATAATATTTTAAATTATACTTTTAAGCTTTATAATTTCATAAGCAAAAAATCCTTTATTGAAGAAATGAATATGAAATTGCAGATACGGAATATTAAACAAAAACAATGAAATATATGTCTACCTTATAATCTATTTTTTATAAAACGATATCAATTTTGATTTTTTTTACTTTTTCAATCGGCGTAAATATATTAGTATTTAAAGCTTTAACTGTGACATACTGCACCTAAATCTGGCTATATCAATGTTCAGAAACAGCAATGTCAAAAATGGAAATAGGCGTCTAGAAGAGTAACGCAATGCCCTCAGTGTTCGCATTGCAAACACCTTAGAGTCAATTATAATTGTACTTACAGAAATTATATCAATGCACAAGAGCTTAATTCATAACACTGTGATGTGATAGTTTATCAGTTAATTCTAAAACAGAAAACGATCGTTTATCTATAATGCAAAAATATTGTTTGAAGAATTCCAGTTTCACGCAAATTATTTAGTTTTAGTGAAAACTTCTCCAAGTTATATGCATATATATATATATATATATATATATATATATTAAGTAAATTCATATTTTCGTTCAAAAACTGGCACGCATAAACGCGTTTCATACTAAAACAAGCCAGCATTATGCTGCTTTGATAAATATATTAAAAAACTATTAAAATTTGAACGATCTCTGATAATTAAATATGCTATCAAATAACACACTGTTATTCTATTCTTTGGTATACGACCCAATTTTTGAAATTTTACACTGTCTGAAGTATCTCATCACTTTTATGTGTGCCGGCCTTACATCCATATGCATGACGTTAATAATATCATTATACAAACCAAACGATATTTTTCATACCATTTTATATGTTATTTGTAATTTGTATCTTTTTAAAACACTAAAAAACTTTCACGAAACGAATAAAAAATTATTTATATTTTAAAAGAGTCTCCTCGTTAGGAAATTGTCCTAAATATAAAATCATTAAATTTATGTTTCAACTGAGGTATCCAAATATATTTATTTGTGAAAATAATTAATAATAATTAATGGTTTATGTAAACATTTCAATTTTTTTTAAATTTATATCACGAACTCAGAGTGTGATTTATGAATATCATTTACCATAAAGTGGTTTTAAAATTGAAATTAATTATAGAAAATATTGTAATATTTCTGCTAATATATAATATTTTAATATACCAATAATAAAATTTGAATACCTTAGTGATAAATTTACTCAACTTCCGATATACACAATGGGGTCAATTCTAGGATAAATAGCAATGCTTTGTTACCGGTTTCTTATTTTGAGTAATCACATAAGCTGGTAGTCACGAAACTGTCCAAAAGCCTATGTTTATTTTATTCAACATAAAACGCTTCTTTTATAGTAGCCACACACAATATGATTTTCTGTGCAAACCTGAATTTAAAAAAAAACAATCATACGAATTTACATCGTGACCATAGGCGGTTCAAATATATGAACTTAACTAGTTGTGTATGGCATCGTGTCTTAAAGCAAATAGCTGGAACTTCCCGTACTGTAATACAAAATTTATAAAAGCTCAGAAAAGAAAAATTAAGATTTTTAAAAGTTTTGAAAACATTTGAAAAATTCTAATTTTTTAAAAAATTGTCTTGTTTTAAAAATAATGATATTTTTTGAAAACTAAAATTTTTTTTTTAAGTTTTTTTCTTTTTAAAAATTTTAAAAACTTTAAAACTTCTTGCCAGTTTTTGATACCCATTCATTTCAGTTGATTAAAATTGCAAAATATCTGATTTTCGACTGTGACGTCAATACAAGTGGAATGTTTTTTGAATCACTCAAATCAGATGCTCCGTTCTCTTAAAAGCTCGAATTCTATTTTCTGGACTCTTTGCTCCGTATCTCCGAAACGGCTGGACCAACTTTTGCCAAAAACTAATCAGCCCGTCTCCTTATCAATAGGAATTGAATGTTTTTTCAATAATTCAAATTGGTTGAGCGGGACTTTCAAAAAAGTCAACGAAAAATTGTATCCATACATACACACATCCATTTTTTCTAAGGCATGCCAGAATATTCAGAAACCTCTGAAAATTTTTATTTTCGATTTTTGGACGATTACTATAACTTACCTTACGAGAAGGTAAAAAAACCTTAAACGATCAGACCAGTAAACTCACTTAAATGAAAACATAACCTAAAATGTATTTATTTTCTAGGTTACGTTTCGATAACTATATTAATAATAGATAATCTTATAGCTTTATTATTTACTTTGATAGATCGTGAATTTGCGCAAATATCGCCCACATATTTATTATTTTCTTGAATTTGCACAAAAAATCGTAGCGAACGTGGCTACCGTTGCACAATATCACTTCGTGAAAACAAATTGTTGCATTTGAAATAACACATGCGGGAAGTTGAAGTAATGTTTAATTTCAACATTTGTGCCACTAGGAGGTTAGATCTTAGCATCGAGATTCTGAAAAACGCTCGATTGAACAGCAAAGAAATATTCACACCAACTCCAACTCATGCGACTACTCAACCTAAGAGACCGGTAACATAACACAGCTATTTTTTACGAGAATTGGCCCATATATGTGCCGTCACTCTCAAATTTAAATTCCACAAATTCAACATTGGACAAAAACTTCTTCGACAGCCATTTCAACTGTATAACGTCGTATAACAAGTGACTAACTTGTTTGTAATGCACGTGGTCTGAAGCTTTAACTAGAGTCATAGATAAAATTATATAATAAGTTTTTTAATAAAACAAATATATATACATATATCATCACAACACATATTTTAAAATTGTAGCAAAACGGTTTTTGATGCAAGTGAACCAAAGCGTTTTGTTGACGATTTATTGTACTAAATCAAAGAAAACAGATATCTGATTACTTGGCATAGTTTAGTACAAGACGAGCTTACCTATTCTATTTTTTATAATATTTCTACTTCAATTATTAAAATTTGTTTACACACGTATGATAAAAATATTTGTCAATATAAGTATAATAAATAATTTAAATTTTTACCTGAAAAATAATTTTCACAATTATTTAAAAAAAACATATTAGTAACCGTTTCAAAATATTTTCGATTATTTTTTTTAAACATTATTTCGATAAATCATGATAAATAATTTAAAAATAATATTGCCGCTCTTTCCATATAACTGATCTTTATTTTATAATTATTTTTTTTTTAAATAACAAGCACTTAAAATAAAATGCTAATAATTATGGCTTATAAATCAATCGTCTTGCACAAAACTGTCCAAAAATATTTAGTATTAAAAATGCGCACATAAAAACAAATGTTCTTAAGAGGTTTTGAAAATAAAAACTAAAAAGCTTATGAATGTGTAGCTTGAAACCAAACATTAGAATATAAGAGCATAGATGAAATAATTGTTCGATGTAACTGTGCACGTTTTTCCTGCTTGGCATACGCCTCTACGATTTTCTACGCTGACAGCCTATGTAACATTTAATTATAAGAATGTTGTACCGACCGTGTTGACAATAAATAAATGTTTAGCTCATATAAACAAACATATAATTATATAATATTGCATATGTAAATGTCATATGCAAATCAAGAGACGTGCGAGACAATATGTAAAATTAAATCCAAATGTTATTTATAAGCATTTAAAATGTATAAGTAAATTGGGTATTTTCATACGGAAGCATTGTTCATATATAAATGTAATTTCTCAACAATATTCAATAAGCATGAAGGCTGGATTGTCGTATTAGCATAT